TGCATTTGGAACAAGAGTGCCCGTGTTGTCTCAAGAAGGTGTTTATTTTTTCTTTCAGCCACACCATTCTGAGATGGTGTGTCAACGCATGAGGATTGGTGTAAAATACCATTCTGAAGCATGAAAGTTTGAAAAGCATTGGAAAATTATTCTTTGGCATTATCACTTCGCAATATTTGTACAGAAACATTAAATTGCGTTTTAATTTCAGCACAAAAAGAACTAAAATGAGAGAATAATTCAGAACGACTTTTCATTAAATAAAGCTAAGTCACACGAGAGAAATCATCAACAAATGTAACAAAATATCAAAAACCAGTTTCGGACACGACAGGACACGGACCCCAAACATCTAAATGAACTAATTCAAAAGGAAAACTAGCTCTCTTATTGACTCGAGGAACTGAACACAAACGATGATGTTTTGCGAACTGGCACGACTCACAATCTAAAGACGACACACTCTGAAACTCAGGGTATAATTTTTTCAACAAAGATAAAGACGAATAGCCCATGCAACAATGCACTTCAAACGGAGTTAAGACACTTGAACATGCAATGGGTTTGGGCACCTGGGTATCCAGAAGATAGAGACCGCCTGATTCATGTCATTTACCAATAATTTTCTTCGTCATAAGATCTTGAAAGAGACAATAATCAGGAAAAAATGAAATGCAACAGTTTAGGACTCGAGGAAGTTTGCTCACAGACATTAAATTGAAAGAGAATTGTGGTAAACTTAAAACGGAAGATAAAGACAGTAACAGGTTTGGGGTAATAGTGCCAGAACCAAGAACAGAAGACGTAGAACCATCAGCTAAAGTAACATGGGAAGGAGACATGTGCGACTGAAAAGTGGAGAAGAGATTAGGATTACCTGTCATATGATCTGTGGCACTAGAATCAATGACCCATTTCGAGGAAGATGAAAGAAGGCATGTATCGGGTTTACCTGTCTCAGCAATGGCAGAGATGGAGTGAGACGAATTCTTTAATGCTTCTTGGTAGTTGGTACTGGGTGAATTGAGCAAATTTATCTGTAGAGATCTGTATGGTCCGCTCAGCGGATGAGATAGGTGTAGCAGTAGTAGCTGCAATGTGAGCCAAGTGTGGCCGCGAAGATTTATTGAGTAATTTTCGGCACGTGCGTTTGGTATGACCCTGTTCATGACAATAATAACATACAACCCCCTTGTCATCAGGACTTCGAATCTCCCGACTGCCTGTACCTCGGCCCTTTGTTAGACCTCTGCGACTAATAAGAGCACTAGAAGACTGAACAAAGGAAGCACCAAAAGCACTAGTATCTGTGCGAAGTACTCGAGTA